TTATTCTGTGTTGGGTGTCTTTTTGTAACTAATATAGTGAGTACGAGGTCAATTTCAAACTTAGTCGCGTTCACAAGTTATTTTAACTTCTCCATTTCAGACCCTTTCCAGAAGCGATAAACAAATAACAAATCAATTTCATTTCATTAAATTCTAATCGTTTACAAAGAATCTCACAAAAAAAAAAAAAAAAAAAACCGAGGTCAAATTTAGCAAGCAGTTTGATCCGGGTTGGCCACAAGCTGCTCGAGGTTCTCAGCAGGCTGACTTGGCTGGTCAGCACCTTTAGCTGACTTTTCAGCACCTTCGGTAACCTCGCCACCTTCGGTTCCCTCTTCCTCCACTGCCATGAATTCAAAGCTGAACTTGGGAGGTAAGACGATTTGACCTCTGCTATCCCTCTCCCACTTCAGCGTTATCTCTGGGCGGAAGTCAGCAGTACTGCTCTCTCCGTCCTCCTCCACCTCCCCTTCCTGCTCTCCGAAGGTAATCTTCGTCACGTCCACAGCAGGATATTGCAGCTTTACCTTCTTCCGGCAGTCAAAGAAGGCCATGATGGCAGTGGGAAGACGGTAGAGATTGACGATGTCCTCGAAGGTGCTGGACCTCAGGAACCCCTCCACATGCTCTTCGACTGAGTTGTGAACTTTGAGCTCTAACTCAGCCACTGTCCTCCCTGCATCCTCCAGCTCCTTCTCCCTCTTCTCGAGCTCAGCCTCGCATATCTTCCTCTTCTGGTACGATATCTCCGAGTCCTTTTTGAAGGTAGCATTTTCTTTCCGGAGTTCCTCCATCTCCGCTTTCAGTCTCGCCACCTCGGCCTCGGCCTCCTTGTTCTTTTTGACGAGCTCGGCGTTATCCTTCCTCATCTGGTTCCTCTCTTTCAAACTCTCGTGATGCTCGTTGGCCAAGGCATTCACGAGATTAACAGCCTGCACAGTGAAACCACCCCAACTCGTCAAACACTTAACAAAGTCAGAATCCTTACGCTCCAAGTGAGATGAAAGGACCATAACTCCAGTGTTTGACGGACAACGCCAACTGAACCCCTGGCAGCCACCTCGTCCTTCGCACGCTGGCGACCACCTCCGGGAAGTAAGTATTGATGAACCTCTTTGCTATACTCCTCATCCCGGAATCATAAAAACTGGTTGTCTGCGCTCGGATGTACCCTTGCTCCCGGAGCGCAGCCGCGACCTCAGCAGCCGAGGCTGATGAGGTCCCTTCCAGACGGAGGGTTGAGGTCACAGGCTCTCATACCTCCTCTATCTCCTCCATGGCCTCTAGCCTCCTCCTCTTTGCCACAATGGGCCCCTCCTCAACAACCATCACTTCACCCCCAACATGGCTAGGCTGAGAAATGGCCAAGTTTCCCACTTCGGCTTGAGGCATCGAAATCTCCTCCCTCCGCCTCCTGACCTCGCCTCTCTTCCCTCTTCCCTTCTTTGGAATTCCAGCTCCACCGGCGGCGTCCAAAAACTTGTTCATTTCTTCTGCAAAACAAAACAAGGTTAAACTCTGATCAGGATTCTCGAACTAAATTAGCAATTAAGGTTACACACCTCCTCTCTGTGAGCTCGGCCCATATATCTCAACCGCGTCTAACATCCTCTGGCTCGTATATTCCATAACGTCCAGCAAACCCACCCCCCCTTTCCAACTCCTCCACATCCTCTATCTCCCCCGGGGTCAGACTATACTCGTTGAGGTTTAACCCTTTCGCCTTCCAACGACTTAGGTGCTCTACCTCAGCATCAGTCTTATCCCACTCCGTGTCATCCGCAAAAAAGAACTTATCTTTCCACCCTTTAATGGAAGACGGCCCGGCGCTAAACAAACCCCTCCTTTGCTTATTCGCTACCCGGCCCGTAAAATAGTACCACCCATTCTCCCTACTACTACCAGCGTTCAAGATGTAAAAGTACTTGAATACGTTAGCAGTAGGAAAACTCACCCCCCGACTTCGGCTATATACTACAAACGCCACCACCAACCTCACAGCATTTGGGGTGAGTTGCGTCAATCCCAGACCACTCTCTAACAACAACCACACCAATAGGTCTGGGAGAGGAAACCGCAACCCAACCGCTAGGTAATGGGAGTAGAGAGGCATCCAGTGGTCCCCCGAGGCCGAACACGCCCTCTCTCTACTCCCCGCCGGCCTCACCAACACACGCCCGGACACCCCATAGTTCTCAACCAAGTGGGCCAAACTACCCCTATTCTCCAAAGTTGTTTCATACCCTGCCACCTCACTAACAACTTCCTCCTCAGGGTTGAAACACGGCTCTCTCCCATCCTCTCTCTCCAGAATGTTCGACGGCACCCCCAAATCCCTACTCTCTACCTCCTCAACCCTCACCCTCACTCTGTCGTTGCTAAGTGTCTCTTCAAAAGACATTCTCACAACAAAGAAAGGTAGAAAAAAGACACTCAAATCCTCGCAAATTACCTGGTTTCTACTGAAAACGGACGAACAATCTTGAGTGCAGGCAAGCCGGTGACTTTTCCAGACGTTAACAACAAAATGGGTTGGATTTTTCTAACTCCGCGTATATATATGATGGTAAAACGTACTTTGATGGCCACAATTAACTTCCTTAAACCGTCACGACTGTGCCCTTTCAAATTCGCCGTTTAGTATTCCATAAATAGGCCCATTTTAGGCCCATTGTAAACCCCTCAACATATACTTTACACGAAAACTATCAAGTCACAATTTCATCTCGGCTATGGCCACAGTGACTACGTGTCACCTATTTTATCTCGGCTACGGCCACAGTGACTACGTGTCACCAATATTTATCTCGGCTACGGCCACAGTGACTACGTGTCACCTATTTTATCTCGGCTATGGCCACAGTGACTACGTGTCACCAATATTTATCTCGGCTATGGCCACAGTGACTACATGTCACCTATTTTATCTCGGCTACGTCTAGTGACTACGTGTCACCAATATTTATCTCGGCTACGGCCACAATGACTACGTGTCACCAATATTTATTTCGGCTACGACCACAGTGATTACGTGTCACCTATTTCATCTTGGCTACGGCCAGTGACTACGTGTCACCAATGTTTATCTCGGCTACGGCCGCAGTGACCACGTGTCACCCATTTGACCTCAGCTCCGGCCGCAATGACTCCGTGTCACCCATTTAATCTTGGCTCCGGCCACAGTGACTACGCGTCACCTATTTCACCTCGACCTCAGTTGTCACGCCCCAAAACCCGATTTCGAGACGCGACAGACGCCGTGCACTCGTGAGACGGGTCTCACAAATGCACAAGGCTCGGAACTTATCACACCACAATCTGATACCATCAAAATATGAAGATCAAATCTTTAAAATTTCTCCAATCATAAATCTCCAATAAAATCTCCAAATACAAGATCATGATTTATTTCTAAATCTATGCTCAATCTCGAAATGGCTAGCCTTCTAACTTGTCACTCCCCTTGATTT